GAAGTGAGAATGGCCAGACTTCATCTCACCTACTTTGGTCATGTTATCAGAAGGGACCATTCCCTGAAGAAAGACGTCATGCTTGGTAAGGTGGAGTGTCAACAAAAGAGAGGAAGGCCCTCAACAAGATGGATTGACACAATGGCTGCAATCATGGGCTCAGGTATAGCAAGGATTGTGGTGTTGGCACAGGACCAGGCAGTGTTTCATTCTGTTGTACATAGGGTTGCTATGAGTCATAGTCAACTCGACAGCACCTAACAACAACATGTACTGTTTGGCTGAAAAGTAGTCTCCAAGAATGGCTTTAGTTCCAGGTCAGAAGAGTGTTTTAGGACCATAGCCTTGGAGATTTCTCCAGTCTTTGTCAGAACAGTAAGTCTGATCTTTTTTGTGAATGTGATTTTTTTGTTCTACATTTTCTCCCACTCTGTCCAGGACTCTTTGTTGTGATCCCAATCAGAGTGGTCGGTAGTGGTAGCCAGGCACCGTGTAGCTCTTCTGGTCTCGGGTTTGTGTAGGCTGTAGTTCAATGTCATCCATTAGTCCTTTGTCTAATGGCTCCTTTGAGTCTTGTTTTTCTTAACTTTCCTGTATTCTGGATTGGAAGAGACCAGGAGTTGAATCACAGATGGCCGTTCGAGGATATATATTTTTTAATGATGATATGTAAACTTGCCTGACATTGACAATTAGGGATGGCTGGTAATATAGAAGTAAATTATTGCTTTCAATAAGTAAAGAAATGAGAATTATACCTTCTACATGCAGAAAAAAATGTGAAAGGACAAAATGAAAAGAAGGAAAAACACATTTTTTATAGGGCAATTGAGGCAAGGATAGGGAAAATTAAGAATGTGGTTGTTTGAAAAAAAATCATCACTAATACTTGCTTTCACTCCTCTAAACATCTTATTGTATGATAAACATGAGTATTTTCCTCTTCAGATAGTAATTTCCTTCCTTCGCAATTTATTGTTAAGAATCAGCAAGATCCACTTACATACAGTAGTAGCTCCACACATCAGCACATTATGAGTAACAGAGTTTACCTAGCTGGATATTGCAAAGTTCTAACGATTAGGTCCAAGTGAGTAACGAATGAAACAAAGGAATCCGGGCAAGTCCTCTCCTCTAATGAAGCCAATAAGTCACATCAGTGGAAGAAAAGTGTGAAATTGGATTCACCTGAATTACTCCAATAAGGATCCTGCAAAGAAGCTATAATGTTTTTGACCATTATTTATGTTATGGGAATTTTGAAAAAATAAGTCCAGAATAAAAGTAATATTTTTAATTATATAGCAAAACAGAAAACTATTGTGGCTGACTCTCAGTGCTGGGATAAGAAAAAAATAACATCTATTAATGAAATATATTTGAATATTTTCTTCATTAGATGGCAGCTGTGTTTTAGGAGCAAAGAGATATACTTAAAATAACAATATTATGATACCTTGTAATATATATGCCTAGACTAGGACATTTTCTTTAAAAAAAAAAAAAAAGAAGAAGAAGAAGAAGAAGAAGAGTTGTGGAGAGAGAGAGAAATTGTCAGAAGACAGAGTAACCATACAACCTAATCCCATAAGAGTGGCTGCAACCATTTTCAATTGGGCCTACTTAAAACAATCCACTGCTGTCAAGTCATTCCACCTCATAGCAACCCCCAGTGGGTTTCAGAGGCAGTGAATCGTTACAAAGTAGATCACCCCATCTTCCTTCCAAGGAGGCTGGTGGGTTTGAACCACCAGCCTTCCGGTTAGCAGTCAAATGCCTTAGGCTCCTTGTCCCTACTTAAGTGACCATAACCTTGTATGTAATATGCTTTTCTTTTAGCTTCCATAAAAATCCTACTTGCTTTCATGCTTGTTCTTAAACTAAACCATGAAATGAAGATTTCAAATAATGATGCTTATCTATTGTAGTTGTCAGTCCTGTACAACTGATAAAAATATTTACAATTAGTAAAAATGAAAAGGAAGGTACAAAACTCAAACTTGCACAGAAAGTCATGTAACCTTGACTACTTTTAAATCTTTTTTCATAGATTTCCTGGTGTCCAGTGGAAAAAAATCTTTGACTTTAAGGAAGGACAGACTGATCTAGCTCAAATAAAGGACTAATAGGGGAGGCCTGAACCCTAATGGGGTAAAACAGGGTGTTAAGTTTTTGTGATCATTGAGGTTGGCTAGTTGGTTGGTTTTCATTTTCCCAGTTTTCTAAATAATTGCTAATGCTCGCATACCAATAAATAAATAGAGAAAACAATAATTTATTACAAATGTGACCAATTATGTAAAATTTCAAACAATAAAATTTAACTTAAACATACAAGTGTCTACAATTTTATTGAACTTTCTAACAACACCTTTACTAACTTCTAGAAATTACATATAATTTTGAATAAAGGCAAACTACCAAAAGCTGTCAAGGAAATTTCCTAAATGTCCTAAAATATAAAACATGTCTATTTAATTCACTACCTACGAGTCAAAGATAAAGGAACTCTGGTGGTATAGTGCCTAAGGCCTTTGATTGCTAACCAGAAGGCCAGTCTGAGGAATGAAGACTAGGCAATCTACTTCTGTAAAGATTTACCACCTCAGAAACCCACAGAGAATCACTATGAGTCCAAATCCACTCGATGGCAGTGAGTTTGGTTTTTGATTTAGTCAAAGATAATGGGAAAGGCTTAAAAACATATGCTGCCTTCAAAAATAAACCTTTATTCACAATTTTTGCATCATAATTAGGAGCTCTGGTAGCATAGTGCCTAAGGCACTTGACTGCTAACCAGAAGGCTGGCAGTTCAAACCCACCAGCCACTCCTCGGAAGGAAGGTTGGGCAATCCCACTTCTGTAGTGATACTGCCTCGGAAACCCTAGGAGGGGTTGCTATGAGTCGGGCTGACTCGAAGGCACATAACAACAACAACAGCCTTAGGCACTATGCTACCAGAGCTACCAACAATAGACATGGTCAGTCCAAATGATTAGTTTTTAGTTTGTATTTGTTGAATGGAGTCAAGCTGGCTCCAGATATTCCTTCCTGGCATTCTTATAATGTGATCTAGAAATACAAATCAAAGATATCCCATTATAACCTTGTTGTTGTTGTTGTTGTTGTTGTTTGCCGTCGAGTTGGCCCCAACTCATAGCGACCCCTCCTTGGGTTTCTGAGGCAGTATCACTACGGAAGTAGGATTGCCCAATCTTCCTTCTGAGGAGTGGCTGGTGGGTCTGAACCGCCAGCCTTCTGGTGAGCAGTCAAGTGCCTTAGGCACTATGCTACCAGAGCTCCTCATTATAGCCTAGGAATTCCAAAATCAAATTTCTAGGACAAAATTATTGATAAATCAGGACACTGATTTAAGACACAGACATAACAGTTCTAAATGTGTACCATAACAATGTGTTTTTCAAATCTTCCAAATAATTCTCTCAAGAATCTAGTGTAAAACAATAATCATAAATTAATCTTTAAATCTCTGTTATAACTGGGAAGATTATAGACGACCTTAATAATTTTCCTCTAAGAATAGAACCCTGAAAGAGAAAGAAGAAGGGATTAATATGATGGGGAGGGATTACTTCAAGAAAATGGCTGAAAGAATGTTAATAGCAGGCATCTAAAGCAAGAATCATGACAGCAAGCCCTTCATGCATAATCCAGCTCAAAAGCAAGAGGGATGTGAATGCCTTACCCCAGCCTATCAAGGTGAAGCCCCACAGATATTTGGTGTCCGTAAAGAAAGCCACAGAGATTAGACTATGCAGGTAGAGACCTTCCACCAGGATCCAATAGTAGTTTGTAGCCAAAAAGTAAATAAACATCACAACAGCCATCTTGCACCCCATCTGTTACAAGTAAACCAAAATTGCATCATATTAGAACTCTTAATTGTATTGGATACCAACAACAGACCACAAAAAAACAGTTCTTATAGTTCTCTTTGCATCACTTGTATAGAGTAATGCCAACACTGTTGAAAGAAACCAGAACATAGTTACTTTAACATAGCATTTTTAAGAATATAGGTTTGATTCTTTTGTTCAGAAAACATCTTTTTCTCTTACAAGTAAAAGAAAAAGTAATTTTTCTTTAGGCTTTCCTATTTTTTAAAATAATACATGATCATAAAAATTGGACAGTCCAGAAAGCATAAAGAAAAGACTATCATCCATAATTCTACCATGAATTTATTTTAGTCTAATTTTTTTATGCAATGTTATTTCACACAGTTGAGAGTATATATGTGTCTCTTTGTATCCTTTGGCATGAGATAAATATTTATTGAGTACCTATTACATACCAGACACTACTATAGACTTTGGGAGTAAATAATCTTATCCTGATGAATTTATGCTCATAGAGGAGATAGACAATAAAAAACCACATACACAAACACATAATGTTAAGCCAAATGATAACAAGCACAGTGAAGAAAATATGGAAAAAATGAAGAATGAAAATGATGAAGATGCTATTTATAAAATAACACAAGAATTCATGTGATTGAACACAATATTAACCATTCTCAAAAATATCATTTTAATAGCTATATAAACTTTTCTCTGAGGATATTATAATTTACTTAAATAATCTCTTTCTGTAAAACAGGGTGTTAAGTTTTTGTGATCATTGAGGTTGGCTAGTTGGTTGGTTTTCATTTTCCCAATTTTCTAAATAATTGGTAACTGAATTTTGAATTTCTGACCTATTATTTCAGAAAGGATTTTGTAAATTTGCAAGTATAGAAGCTTCAAAAACACGTGAATTCAAACAATTCAAACTTTGTTATAACATGGTAAAGCAAAATGGTTCGTAGTATGGATCTATCTCATTTTAAGGAAATGTGTTTCTGAAATTTGAAAACTCCAGCTATTTCTTTCTTATGGAGCTTGAACTGAGGGGTATTAACACATCTTTTCCTCCTAGTGTATATCCACGTGGCTAATTAAATAACTGCTATCTAGTCCTATGTGTTTCAAGGAGAAATAAAAGCCTTCAGCTCATTTTGACTAGGTGAGGAAGGAATAATTTCTTCACAGAATCTAAAAGTGGGACAGGAATTTCATGAATCAGTAACTCCCAGCACCCTTCACATTTCTCAGCAGCAAATTCTTCCGTGGAATTAATCCGTGTGTCCTCTGCCTGAAGATCATACTGCCATGACAGAGAAGTTCCTCCAAATTTCTGATGTGTGGTTGAATTGTCTCTTTAATTTCCAGTGCTATAAAATATCTACGTTAAATCTATACTGATGTTGTTGTTAGGAGCCATCGAGTTGGCTAAGACTCACAGTGACGCTGTGTACAACAGAACAAAATACTGCCCAGTCACAATCTTTGCCCAGTCACAATTCTGGAGCCCATCGTTGAAGCCACAGTTTCAATCCATCTCACTGAGGGTCTTCCCCTTTTCTCACTGACCCTCTACTTAACCAACTATGAGACGCTTCTCCCATGACTGGTCCCTTCTGACAACATGACCAAAGTAGGTGAGGCGAAGTCTAGCCATTCTCACTTCTAAGGAGCATTCTGGCTGTACTTCTTCCAAGACAGATTTGTTCAGTCTTCTGGCAATCCATGGTATTTTCGGTATTCTTCACCAACACCACAATTCAAAGGCATCAATTCTCCTTCAGTCTTCTTTATTCATTGTCCAACTTTCACATGCATATGTGGCAATTTAAAAGACCAGGGGCTTGGGTCAGGAGCACCTTGGTCTTCAAAGTGACAGTTTTGTTCTTTAACACTTCAAAGAGCTCTTTTGCAGCAGATTTGCCCAGAGCAATATACTGTCTGATTTCTTGACAGCTGCTTCCATGGGTATTGACTGTAGATCCAAGTAAAATGAAATCCTTAATGTTGCTTATTGGTCCTTTTGTGAAAATTTTTGTTTTCTTTATGTTGTGGTATAATCTATACTAAAGGCTACAGTGTTTGATCTTCATCAGTAACTGCTTCAAGTCATCTTCACTTTCTGGAAGCGAGGTTGTGTCATTTGTATATCTCAGGTTATAAATAAGTCTTCCTCCATTCCTGATGCCATGTTCTCCTTCATGTAGTCCAGCTTCTCAGATTATTTGCTCAGCATATAGATTGAATAAGTATGGTGAAAGGATACAACCCTGACGCACACCTTTCCTAACTTCAAACCACGCAGTATCCCTTTGTTCTGTTCAAAGGACAGCCTCTTAGTCTATGTACAGGTTCCCCACGAGCACAATGAAGTGTTCTGGAATTCCCATTCTTCGCAATGTTATCCGAATTTGTTATGATCCACATAGTCAAAATGGCTTTGCATAGTCAATAAAACATAAGTACACTGATCATAAACCAACATTTTGGGTATGTGTATTACTATTGTGTGTGACTTCTTGGATATTTACTGAGAAGTGAGGAGAAGGTACATTAGGGACTACTAGCTTGATATCTCCTTGGCAGTTACATAAGGAAAATCTGTTGTATTCAAAGAATCAAATAAGAATTTAAAGAACATTTGCTGGTGACAAACCCTTTCCTAGTGTATCAGTCAGCTGCAAACCAAACTGCCCCAAAACGTAATGGTATGAAAAAACAAATATTTATTACTTCTTGTAAGTCTATGAATTGGCCAAGTGGTCTTGCTGTTTTGGCTGGGCTCAGCCACTCTAGACTAAGTCATATGACTGCAGTCAGCTAGCATGTCAGCTGGGGGCTGGCTGGTCTAGGATGGCTACTAGGATTTGTCTCTTATTCTCCAACAAGCTCTCCTCTATTTGTTCTCTTGATGGTGGTACTCTGCAAGAGAGACAGTGGAGTAATATTCAAGGTTTCTTGAGCTCTAGCCTCACCTGGCATACTATTACTTCCACCTCTTTCTATTAGGCAAAACCTAATAGGTGACAGCCTGTATTCAGATTCTGCAGGAACTACAAAATTATAGACAAAAGTATGTAGATACAGACTTAGGATCATCAAGACAGTCTGTTATTGTTCTTGTTGTTATGTGCCGTTGAGTTGGACTTGACTCATAGAGACCCCTCCTTGAGTTTCTGAGGCAGTATCATTACAAAAGTAGATTGCCCCATCTTCCTTCCAAGGAGTGGCTGGTGGGTTTGAACCGCCAACCTTCTGGTTAGCAGTCAAGTGCCTTAGCCACTATGCTACCAGAGCTCCCAAGACAGTCTAATATACCTTATTTCCAGATATATTGCTTCAGTGATCTAATGGACTGTATAGTGCGTGACTCTTATTTACTAAACAACACCCAGAACACTTAAGAGCAGAATCAAGCACCATGGAATCTTATTTTTGAACAAGTTTTTGAGCTGACAATAAAGGAACTAAATATTGTGGGCTTTTAAATCCTAAGCTTCTGGTTTTGCAGGGCTTTTTTATTTTATTTTTTTTACTTTTGAAAGTAGCGAGCCATGATAGTGGCTACGGCTCATACATCAAATGCCACTCTATTCAGGTGCTTTTTGTAATTTCCACTCCAGAAAAGTTCTTGAGCAAAGATCCCAAACACTTTTCATAATCTAAGATGATGAGTGACTAGGCATAAGAGTTGATGATAGAATTGAGGTAATAAATGTTAGTAAACAAATTGACAGACTTTTTCATTTTGTATGGATAGATTACTTCACAGATCAAATGTTAACACGTATTTAGTAGACTTTTAGACTTTACTTACTTAGTTGTAATGTTACACCAATTAGTGATGAGAATACTTACATATTGGGATTTGTCTACAGAAGGGACTTCTATGGAATTTTGTAAGTCATCCTGCATTATCATGGACTGCAGCTCCTTTATTCCTATGTGAGCATGGACCACTCTATCCTTGACAAAGATGCTTGCAGCTCTCAGCATGAAAGACACAAATAAGTGCATGTGGATATAGTTCCTGGTGCAATGCAATCGCCTATGAAGAGAAAAGTTTTAGTATTTGGATTTGAATTAAATTAGAAATGGGGAATGAAAAAGTATAAATGAGTCCCAAACTCTCTGCAAAAAAAAAAAAAAAGAAAATACAATAAATTAAATAAAGAAAGAAACTCATATATTTCCAATAAAAACAACTGGGATCTAAAACTAAAGTGTAACTTCCTAAGGATAAATTTCAAATTTACCCTAGTCTATCATCATGTTTATCCAGATTTTGAAGTATTAAATATACACTTGTTGTTGTTGTTATGTGCCGTCGAGTCGGCCCCGACTCATAGCGACCCCTCCTTGGGTTTCCGAGGCAGTTATCA